TTGGTGATGACAAATGAACCAACTTCTAGAAGAGACAAAGAATCTTATAACAAAATGAACAAAAATAGTTTTAGTAATGTGAGATGTCCACATTGCGCCGGTCCTCTTTCTAAGGAGATGGTAAACAACTAATTCTTGTACTTTAAAAAAAAATTGTGTTTTTTTTCATCGTATTTCTGAGTGTTAATACAATGTTATTTGTATGAGTGATTCTCTCATTCCTTTGCAGGAGACAAGCGAGTGGACAGTTCCGCCTCTAATCCGGGATAGCTTTTCTATGGTTCGATATCAGTGATTTACATTGACACTACTTTGTTTTTCCAATTCTTGAATGATAAAATCCGGTTCTATCTTTATTTTATGGTGCACAATTTGAGTAGACCACTGGATTAGACAAATTAAATCGCATATGCATAGTGTAAAGCATTAGAAGTTAAAGAAAATTTGATGAATTCATACTTGAAAAATTGGTTATGGTGGGAACATTGGTATTTGAAGTTGAATTGTTAAATAAATTTAATTCTTGAATGTTGAAACATATGACAGTTACATGAAATAAAAATACCAACAATTCAGAGGTGTTAAATGTTATCTGAATCCCACCATTTAAAAGTGTGTGATGAAATCGCCAGTAGAAAATCTATAGCATAAATTAGGACTGTTTTAAATTTTTGCCTTAGCGGTTTGTATTTTATTACATTCTGATTTTGTTACTAAATCTGCTTGTCCTAATTCATCTTCCCCTACCCCCACTCCCTTACTTAACTACTTCCCTGATATTTCAGATTGGTTCTGCAGTTGGTGGTACTACAAGTGCATTCTATGGCTTCAACCATGGTATGTAGCAGTATTTTGTCCATCTTCCTTGGTTTCTTTTTGTATTCGTATCTTGCTTCTAGCATGCTCTATGTATTTATACCCCCTTTCGGAGGTGAAATATTGTGTATTGATTATAATCTGCTTTATATGTAGCAAAACGTATATTGGTGATTCATATAGCCGACTTCAATTGGGTTGTATGAATATGTAGTTGTTGACTTGTTGTATAATCTTCTTCATATAGCAACCCAACCATGCTGTAACATGATGAAAATAACTCTATGAAAATAAAATGGGAAGATATTCTACATTATTCACTCAATGGTTCTATCTCCTAAAACATTTCTCTCTTAGGGCTCCACAATAATATAATTACAACGTGCTGTTTGGTTTAGCTATATTATATATTATCTAATGGAAGATGCCAAAGATATAATTTTGGTTCTGAAAATTTGTTTTTGTATATCTGGAATGTCCTTATTTGCTTCTATATTTGTTTTCTTTACAATGTTCAGAGATTCCTGGGTCACTTAAACGTTCAATCTAAGTTGCAAATGTCTTATTCTTATTCTTAGTTTGGGAGGAACATGGAATGTCTTGTTCTTTTAATGGAAAAGGGTCAAAATATCCTTAAACTCTCCGAAATAGCTTAAATATACCCTTAAACTATATTTCGGCTCAAAAATACCCTTCCCGCCACACCCCACTACCACATAGAAATTGCCTTTGGCATCTCCTAAGCTCCATTTCCAAATGTTTGGACTTTAATTCAGCATCTGGTTGGACATCTTATGTGATTTTAGGCTAATAAAGATCAATTTTTCCTTATTGAGAAACTGCAAATTGATGGGAACTCGACATTCTCCTGCTGGTTCTTTAAGAAGAGTATTTAAAGACGCTCACATTTTTTAGCTTCATATAACTCCCTTCTAGGCTGTGGCAACTTTCTAATCATTGACCGTTTATCATGATTTAATCAGTTCTTATAAAATCAATTATCTCATAAATCTTGCCTATCACAGACGAAAAGGAAAGGAACCGTCGAAGTCTTAACAATTTAGTTGAACGTTTGCTGTTAAATTTCTTTTACTGTTGATAATCTTCTTATTAGTAGTTACGTACTGTTTAGTGTTTACAGTATACTTGTTAAAGGATTACGAACAACACCACATGCACTAATAACGTGTAAAAGATGAGAAAATATCTTTGGTAGTATGCTGTCTCTTTGTAAATCATTCTTCTTACTTTACAGAGGATGCATTTCTGGTTTCTATAGTAATCTGAGGATAATGTATGCCTGTCATTGAAGCATCTCTGGAGTCATTGAGCCTTTTTACTTGAGTTCATATCTCTACTGGAGCCTAAATACTATCTTTTACCGATTTTATATGGTGGAATTTGTTTTTTTAATCGACATGTCAAATCTGAGATTATTCATTTTTGTACAAATACTGTGCATAAATGTTTTTTTTTAATTGACCTGGTATCCGCGTTGATGTGAAATTGTTGTCTGAATGACAATCATATTATTGTTAATCAACATGTCTTGTTTCTTATCTTATTCCTCTGATTCCTACTTGCAGTGATGCCGATTGTTAGAAGGTGGGTTAAAGGACCTATGTGGTTGCATTTCCTTGTTGGTGTAAGTTTTTCTTCTTCTTTTTTTTTATTATTATTTCCTTATATTGCGAGATACAAAGGGTATACTGTACAAGGAGGCTTAGAAGAAGTTTGTAATGAATTCTCAATTAAGCTTATAGATGCTGGCATTCATTGGAACTACAAAATTCAAATGCACTAGGCTTCCATCTTGCATATTCTTTATATTGTTAGCACTACCTTCTGGTCATAAAAAATTTAGGCAATAGTAAAGCATATATACATACATGACAAGTATTATAACTTGTGGGATTATCGTGGATATGTTGTTGTTGTACTCCTCTCTGGTTGTTTTTAGTGCTCTTTTTCCTTGAACGGTTTTATTTTTTATCTGTAGCTTTTTTTATAGACGGTTTAAATGCTGATTTTGTAATTTTTGGTGTTGGGTTTATGCAGGCTCCTCCTGTGATTGTTTTCTCATCTGCATGTGCAGGGATAGCAGGTTTGAACTTTACTTCTTCCAAGTGCTTCTGAAACGAGTAAATCTTGAATGTATTCCCTTAATTTGGTTCTGTTCGACATTCTTTTCCATGGTTGAAACCTTACAGGTGGTGCTGTTCCAGCATTTACACAGCTAGCATCTTCTTCTTACCACGCTGCGATCTCATCTTCCACATTACCACCTACAGCCTCACAAGATGAAAACATGAGAAAATCTACGACTTCTTCAACTTTATAGCTTAAACACCAAGTTGGAGATGCTTTTACTATCAGGATTCCTGCATTTTGCGGTATCATCTCTTAATTTGCAACAGTCTGTTCTCTCCTGTTTGCTAGCTCCCGTTGTGTGATGGATTTTTTTTCCTTTGAAAATATATTACTTGTTCATGTAGTGAGTTTGTTTATTTTTTGTAAATTCAAACCTTAATATATCAGTGATAGAATAAATTTTACACAGTTTTTTTGAGGAAGTCGAGGTGCGTGATAGTTTTCATAGCTCAAACAGGCATGTTTTGAGGAATCCTGTATCATGTTTTATTATATCAGCTGTCCACTTATTTCTATTCTACAAGCCACACTGGTTCGGCTTGAATTTGAAATGAGACCTCGTGATTTTCCTCCCACTTAAATGTTTTTCACCACATAGTCTAAATCGACATTTCAGTTTTGGGTTTTATATTTAGTCTCTAAATTTGTAAAAGACGACCTTCCTCCGGGCTCCGGACTAACAAAATTAGACGGAGTAACAAAGTAACAACAACAATAATTATATTAATTTATTTATAATTAATATTGATTATAAAACTTTTATATAATTTGTATTTAACAAGGAGTTATTCTAATTATAAATTATCAGTTTTATGTTTTTCATGTACAAAAAATAGAAAAAAAATATGTTTAATTGCTATATAAAAACATCACTCAATTTTAACAAGAGAATTATATCATCAAACATATATTATGATAAATTATGTAAAAGATAAAAATAGTTGGATATCAAAATATTTTTCATCATTCATTATATATTTAAAATTCTTGAGATATGTGATAATGTCAAGTAATTTAATTTTTGTTGAGATGTTCTTAAAACCTACTAAAAATTACTTTTTTTTTCTTATAACAATCGATTATTAGAAAGGCCGTTCAAAATTTATCTAATTAAACTTATAACTAATAATATCCACATTTAATCAAATTTTAGGGAAATCATAAAAAATAAAACTAATTATGACTATCAAAATATACTATCGAGTTAGGTTAAATTTTTAATTTTGAGTGTAAAAAAATGGTACTAGTTACTTATTTTGCCGTGGTTTTGTTTAGTATTATATTATAGATTGAATTTTTTCCCCTTCTTTTATACTCCCTCTGGAAAAAAAATGATCCTATTTAGAATGATCATTTTTATTTTTAGGCAACAATTCAACTTTATTTTTCTACATAACATGTTTAAAATAACAGGATTAAAATACATTTTGATATATTTGACATGACTTTAATTTAAAACTACAAGATTAAAAAGTCTTTTTTTTTAAAACTCGGCTCCAAATCAAATTGGGTCATCCTTTTCAAAATGAAAAAAATACAATCTTTTTAAAAAAAAATAAAAACCCAAAGTGTACATCATCGCTATTACCAAAGAAGATGTTACTATTCTAAAAAGAAGTAAATCAGTTCTCAAGTAACCCAAATCTTTAACAATGGTAAGACTTGAAAGAATTATAACTTACTAAAGATACACAAACACTTATTTTTTTTTCATTATAAAACCAAAATTGATAAATAAACGCTTCGTTAACAAAAAACATGAATTCACGTGAATTATATTCTCTAAATCCCTCCACATAAATCCGTCTACTCGATAATAGAAAGTGAATCGAAATGAAAAAGAAGATGAAACAATCAATACAAATTTCATACCAGTATCTACACATATCCACCTACTCGATAGTAAAAAGTGAATCGAAATGTGAAAAATGACGATGAAATAATCTAACACAAATTCCATACCAGTATCAAGAAAATCCGTATACTATTCAAGATTATGATACAGGTTCGTAATAGTACAAAATACAAAAAAATCACTGCATTTTGTAGAACAGCTTCAGCCCAAGCTTAAAAGACATAAAAGCATCAATACAAGCATATTCAACTTGTTCATACTCCAATTCCTCTGCATCCCAATCACTCATCGTAACACCCAACGGCTTTTGCATCACTTTCCCAAGAATTTCATGCGCCATTCTCTTCAACCCAATTCTCCCATACTCTTTAATTTTATAAACATCCATCGCCATCTTGTTCAAATCGAGTGGGTTCGCCACTAACAACGCGTAATCCTCGTGCAATTTCTCACAATCGCCGTTAACATTCACACCCAGAAAACTGAAATTGGTGTCTCCCAGGAAAGAGATGAGAGAATCCGGGATGTAATCTGCGTGAATTAGTTGGAATATGAGGCACCGGTGGCCGACGCAGAGCTGGAGGAGCGCAACACGGGGGTTTTCTTCGGCGGGGTCTCGAATCGCCCGCCACTCGATGTCGAGACCGACGAGGAGTTCGTGGAGTCTTCGACGGTGAATGTGAACTGTTTGCTGAATCCATCGATCCACTTCTGAACCTTTCTTTGTAACTGTTACTTCGATTTGGTTTCTGTAGAAAGGAATACTATAGAATAAGGTGTGGGCTCGGCAGATTCTCACCATGCTGATGATATCTTGAGAATCAGTCGCCACTGTTGAAGATGAATTAGGAGCGAAAAATTGTATTGTGAAATAACAGAAATTCAAAATTTATTGCAGAATTGTGACATTTGAAAGACAGATTGCGCTCAAATGGTAGACTTTATATAAGAGTTTGGGATTGTTGAGTTTGTATTGGCGGAGAAATGAGCTCTCTGTCGTTTGGTTCGGAGTAAGTAATTTCGAAATAAATAATTTTAAAATAAATTAATTCGTCATTAAGATATAAATAATAAAATAAATAATTTAAATTAATATTTTAATCAAACATAAGATAAAATAATCTTACATTTTATTATATGAATTATTGTACTTTATATCCTACCTTTGATTGTTAAGTATCTAAATTGTTATTTATTGTGATATATATTGATTTTATATATGTAAATTTTATAAAATTTTGAAGATATTGTGTATTTTGTGAAAAATTATAAAATTTAAATTATATCAAATAAATTGTAGAATATACATTTTCTCCCTTTTCGATTGTGTGACTTTATATTTAAATGAGAATAGTATTTTATAACTCGCTTAGTATTTTCTCTTTTTGTAGTGTAAATGATTGTAGAATGATATAGAGCGAGAAGGAAATAAAAGACAAAATGGTGGCAGAGGTGATGATAAATAGTTTTAGAATTATATGTATTTATGAGTATCGATCAATACTTATTCGCTGTAAAACAATATTTTTTTTAGTGTATGCATTTTTTTACATACGTATATGGTGATATTGTCTTCCATTAGAAAAGTTTATTAGGGGAGTCCGAAGGGTAGGGGGTTTTCTTCGAGGCCCGAGAGGTGGAATATATAGGGTCCCATAAGTTTGAAATCCGCTGCGGAGTTACTTTTTATATTTTAACACTTTTTAGTAAAAATCTAGTTATTTATGATGAAAATGGTGATGAGGCATGTATAAGATCGGATTTTAATTTTCAGTCCTTCCAAAAAAAGGTTATTGTGAGTCACGTTTTAGCTGCAAAATGTGCCTCAGAGTAAAATGTTACTAACAATAACGTTTTATGTATGTTTACTTTGTCAGATTTTTGTCTTTTATTATTGAGTTTATTTGAATAAAATATAACCTAAAACGTTACTGAAACTATGTTTATACTAATTTTGTAAAATTTTAATAATTCATATTATTTTAGTGAATTTATTTTAATAATGACTTACTTTAGTAAAAAAATTCATAATAATGATACAAATAAAATTTAATATTTTACTAATGGCTAGTCAAGAAAAATCCTCAAATCGTTGATAATTGATAACGGGATGTAAAACAAATCAAAATTGTTATGAAAGAAAAAAATTGAATAGCCATTATGGATAACTCCATATTTTTTAAGGAAAATATTTATTATTCATAGCGATACTATTTTTTTTACTTGAACACTTTTAATACATTTATAATGTAGTTTTCATACATATTATAAAAAACAATTTATTATTCACATATAGTACAATTTTTTTTATTAATGAGTAATATATTTATCACGTACTTTAATACACTTATAATATAATGTGTCAATTTTCTACCAACAAGTATGATATATTTTTAAAAACGATTATAATACATATTTATTATATACATAGTTCACTTTTAATGCATATTACAAATTCAACATAATGTTACTATAAATAATTAAAAAAAAAAATCACTAAAACCAATAATTATTTACTAAAAATATCAATCCAAACAATTTTTCCATTTTTTAATTTAAATTATTAGTTTCCATTCGATTTTGAACGTGCCTAAGTATATGTCTACCTCTATCAAAGAAAAAAAGAAGTAAGGGGGCCAAATCCATAAAAACCCCAAAGCATTTGATAAAAAAGAAAATATCAAAAGATGTTAGCACAAAACGAGAACCGTAGGATTAATAAGATCAACTGTGAGATACAACCAAGTGTTGCCCAGTCGGAAAAATAACAAATTTGCTCATTTTCCCCACAATCTCCTTCTAACAACGCCGCTTTCAAACACTCAGAGAGCAAAACCCTAGCTTCTTTCTCGATTCCGGTAAGTAGGGCTTAACTTTTTTCATTTCGAACACATATCAAATCAATCGGTGAATTTTGACTGCTTAATTCAGGTACTCTTTCAGTTTGCTTCTTCGTTATTTTCTGTATTTTGTTAATATTGTCATACTCATTTTGTATCTGTTTTGCTGTTTGTATTGGAATTTAATCGATAATAGTATGTTTATTGTCCGAAACGGTTGCATTCTGTTGTGGTTTTTATATTTTAGAATTTGAACCTAGGTTCTCTTTGAACGAGAGTGTTTTGTATTGTAGTGTTTATGACTTTATGGAATTGATTGTTTTGCTGTTGATTTATTTACAACAGTTGCTGAAAACTGCATTTCATGCATCTGCATAGAAACAATGACTTTCGAAGAATTCAGTAAATATTCATGTTTCAATCTATGTATAACTAAAAAAAATCATAAGAGAGCTATAGTGCCTAAGGTGTTCAATGTGCAGGAATTAGATTGTCAACTTTTATATAAGCGGAACTTTGAGGCTGGATATCATGTATTCCATTTTATGTTTGACTAGCTAGCCAGAAGAAAATGAAGAAGTTCAGAAGTATAATGTGGTGTGACTGAAAGCTTATTAATTACACATATGTAGTAAATAACCCTTGAAGGTTTGTTGATGGGAAATAATAAGTTTGATACTGTTTGGTTATAGTTTAGATTAGATTCGGATGACAATTTTTATCAGTTGAAAACACAGCATGAAGTATAATAACAGAATATTTAATTCTGGCCCTGGAGCATTTGTTTATCACCACTAGCTCTTAGTGTAGACTTACATTCCAGCTATTTTTAGAGCTGGTTTGTTAATAATACAAATTACTTATGTTAAAAAAGGTTTAGTTTAGGCCGGGATAGCAATAGCGGGGGAAAAGGGGAAGGTACTTCAATCAGCTCAATTTGATTGGAACTTTGATGTTATCCTTGATATAGCAGTGAGCAGCCCAAATTCAATTTTGAAACCAAAGACAGATTGATCTATACTCCCAGTGCCAATATAATGTTATGTAACACTATGATTTTTAAGGTTTATGCTTGGCTGTGGGTGATTTAATGATCATGTAGCTGAGAGGTAGAAGAAATGGAAAGCCGAAACCCTAGAATGTTCTTCTCAGGAAAACACGTGGTCATGTGGAGAAAGAAATATCAGAGCCTTTGAGCTAAATAAATCACTGTAGGCCACGTCTAGAGGAATTCGATATGTTTTATGAACATATGGAGCCTATTCAACATTCCTAATGAATAAGTGATTGCCTAGAATCTCTATATTGGAACTGCAATCTTTAAGATGTTTTCTGTACGTCATCTCTATGGATTAATCCCTTCTTCTCAATGATGTACCTTATCTGTAAAAAGTAGGCTGCTTATAGTACAAAATGCATTTAAGATTGGTAAATTGATATTGAATATATTACCATAGAGAATTTTGCTGTGAGTTCTGTTTGTGTAATTTGTTCTTGTCTGTGTTAGTAACATGCTTTCTGTCTTTCCTTGTTCTTTTATATCTTTCCAAAACAGGGTGTTCTTTGATATGTCTAGTAGGCAAGATTCCGATATTGATGATGATTTCAGTGATCTTTACAAGGAATATACTGGCCCTGTTAGATCCAACACAACTAAGGCACAGGATAAAATTGTGACAGAAAAAAGGCCTCATGTTGGTTCAGACGAGGAAGAAGAGGATGCCCGCGACCCCAATGCTGTGCCGACGGATTTTACTAGCAGGGAAGCGAAGGTTTGGGAAGCTAAATCCAAAGCTACTGAGAGAAACTGGAAGAAACGAAAGGAGGAAGAAATGATTTGTAAAATATGTGGAGAGTCGGGCCACTTTACTCAGGTACTGCTTTGTTTTGGGATTCTTATTATTATTCTTTTTACCAGCATATTTGTCGAGGAGGGAGAGAGATTTTAAGGATCACAAGGGTTATATCAGTAAATATTTACTTTTAGTCAACCATTTAATAAATAATTTCCTGTGTTCCTCATGCTTACTCTCTAGGATGTTGATTTTTTTTTGCTGAGGATAATTAGTGAGAGAACTATAGTTCATTTTTTTTAGTCTCGCTTCTTAATATTCTCTTGTATTTTCTGGTGAAGGCAGTTGTTTTCATTTTACCTTGCTGTCCAGTTATCAGATGCTTGTAGAGCAACATCCACTTTTGTTTTTTTTGATATACTGGGTCAGTTGGCATACTATAAACTGGTCATTACACTCATCTTTTTCCTTTTTCCACTTCCAACTAATGAATTTTTAAATGATTCTTTTGGGTTGGCTTAGATAAGTATGAAAACTGAAAATCTATCCATGCGATCTTTCTTGCATATACTGGTATGTACCTCTCAAAAAGGTGTCTTTTCTTGCATATACTAGTATCTCACTTAATAACTAAAACTGACCCTGTAAGAGCTTTAACTCTGGCAATATTTTGCATATGATCCTTCTGAACTAGAGGCATAACTAAAGAAAAATCAAGTTGTGTGCATGCATTGACTGGTAATTGTTTTCTTGTGATCCTTCTGCATGCTGTTTCTATCAAGTCCAACCAGGATTCTCTTTTGGGAAAACAATGATGGCTTTATTAACAAACCTTGTCTTGCACAAGAATATATTACTACTGTTTAAGTAAATATAAAACAGGCTGCCTATCAAAAAATCAAAAGGGTGTGTACCTCCATATCTGTCAAAGGTTTAGACTCATTTAAGAGTTTATGCAAATGTCAAACTTTATTTTGTGTGCTAAATAAACCATGTTTAGGGATGTCCATCTACTCTCGGAGCGAGTCGGAAGTCTCAAGATTTCTTTGAGAGAGTGCCTGCAAGGGAAAGCCATGTGAAAGCTTTATTCTCCGAGAAAGTTATAAATCAAATTGAGAAAGATGTTGGCTGCAAAATCAAAATGGAGGAGAAGTTTATTATAGTCAGTGGGAAGGACAGATTGATCCTAAGAAAAGGAGTGGATGCTGTACATAAAATTAAAGAAGATGCCGACAAAAAGGGTCCTTCTAGTTCTCAGGTGTCCAGATCAAAGTCGCCTGAGTGCCGAAGTCCTGTTAGCGCTCGTATGGTACGTTCTAATTCTCAGAGATCCAATCACAGTCCTCAGAGTGCATCACAGTTACACCATAGGTACGGAAGACAAGAGAAGGTTGTTGATGATCGCGGTCATGATGATTTTCACAAAATTGCAAGGAGTGGTTCACAAGGTAGGAAAGCAAATAGTCCGCTGTCTCTTCTACAAGTAGATCACATTTTGAGTTTTAGCCTGCTTTTGGTTTCTTATTTTCCTCTTCTACATGTAACTTTCACAATTAAGTTTTGTATGAACTTCACAGGCTTGTTCTGATGTTGATTTATTTGCTTTAGTAATATACGCTGCTTAGTTTATCAATGCTTTTCTTTTTGTGGCAGCAAGAGGTAAGTTCTTTTCAAGCATTCTGTTCGATTCTGATGTAACATTCCTGGTGGACTCAAATGAAAGGATTGTGTCCCCCAATGAAAATTTTCACTGAAAGTATGTAGAGACTCGTTTGCTTCAGATGGGTTCACTATGAGAATTTAAGATAGTTTGCCATGTTAAAGCTGCCATCATTGTTAGAGTTCTTCGCTGGAAGTGCTTAACCCACTCTTCATTTGATGAAGCTTATGGTAATGATGGAGCTAGAGGTCGATCAAGCCTGTCAAAGTCTCCGGCACGTGCTGCTTATATGAGTAACTCATATAATTCCTACGATGGTCATGGTCAGGGAAGGGGTGTCTACAGGTCTGATGGTTGGGATGCGAGTAGACGTGATTCTGACATGAAATCTAACCGTGATTTTGACCGCCCCTCCGTTCCACTGTCCTTGGAGAGTGTTGAATTGGAATACCAAAAGGATGCCATAGATCTAGGAAGAATTCGGGACAAGGAAGAAGATGAAGAAAATCACAAGCATAGAGAGGTATAAGATTTACTTAAACTTTCATCTTTCCTTTTGTTTTTCCATTTGGATTTTTTTTAGATTTCAGACTTGTTTGGCTTTGAACAAGGACCTTCTCTGAAGTCCCTCATGCAGATGTGTTAAATTCCAGTCAGGTTATGTGTTTATGTAAGGGCGTCAATGATAATTTTGTTTTGGTTTGTCAATTTTAGGCCATTAGAGATGTAAGAGAGAACTACATGAAGAAATTGTCCATCCTTAGAGTTGAACATGCAAAGCAATGGGAAGAGTTTCTTCAAATTGATGCAGTAAGGAGGCAACAGCTGGCAGGACAACGAATGTCAGCCTCCGGGTTTGGTGGTTATAATCAACAGAGTTATCAAGAGTATGACAACTCTGCAGGTAATCCACATTATTCTGGACCCAACATGCCAATGGAACCAAGGGGAAGGTATCCAAACCCTATGGATAACTATCATCCATCAAGACCTCATGACAGTTACGATGACTTTCAGCGTCAGAGGCGTGAAGACTTCGGTAAAGCCTATAATCGATACTAGATGGGTAGATTGGAGTTTTTTTGTGGTGAGTTGTTTTACTCTTTTGACAAGCTAAAAGTTCTAAGTTTCATTTCATGTTTCACCTAAAGCATTAGCTCTGTTATTTTTAGGACTTCAAAACTTTCAGGACCGCAAGTAGGTGGAGTACACAGGTTCACTGCGTCGAAACCGTCTGCGCAAGTAATGTTTGGAGATATAGAAGCATCATGAGAGATGCTGAGTGTGATGGTACCATAGATGTTGTAAAGACAATTGAAGAGGGTTCTTATTTGGGGTTAGTGGTGGTACATTTATCTAGACTAGTGAAGTTTGTGCTCTGGCGTGAGATTTGGAAATTCTTAATATCATGGTATATTTGCCTGCTTTTGCAAATGATGAGTGATACTTTTTTCATAATCCTGGCGATTTTAGCTTGTTATTGTTCTTTTACTACTTGAATGTCATAATTCAGTCTGCCGTGCTATATTGAGGATATATACGCCTACATCGGCTGAAATAACCTCAAGGACACTCAAGTTATGGGAATATCCTACCGTTTAATTGATATAGCCTTTTCCATAATATTTTTAACACACTACGTACTCGATGCATCTAGATGTTTTGTAAAATTGGCATATTTTGTTAACGCATAAAAATTAGTTAGGTCACCAGATGAATTACTCCCTTCATTTCAAAAATAATTACCTAGTCTGACTTGGAATGTAATTTAAGAAAAGAAGTGTTTTAATATGGTTGAAGTTATGTCAAATGTACCAAAATGTGCATGAATCTTGTGGTTTTAAACGTGTCATAGGGAAAGTTAAAATTCAAATATTGCCAAAAAAAAGGGGGTTGTCTTTTCGAGACAAACTAAAATGAAAATAAGATCATTCTTTTTGAAACTAAAATTTGGATTAATATGCGTGAATTACGGGTTATCTAAATAAGGTTAATGCTATTCTGCCACTTTAATTACGGATTATATTATCTTGTGACTCTAATGGAAGATACCTAATAAATAAAAGAAAAATAGATTAGAAAGGATTCTTTTATTGATATTCATAGGTTGTTTTTAAAATTTAAATCTACTCAAAAGTTAAAAACTCATATTTTATTATGTTACCCTCTAAATTATGACCTTCAAGCACAGTATTAAAAGTTGTAGACCTTTAAACTGTCACATCTATTAAAAAATTCATAGTTAAACTATGCATTATTTGTTATTCCTGATGTTAAATGTCCTACTTCAAATTTTTTTAAAAGTGTCAAACGAACACTACAAGTAGTCTTTTTTATTAAGAGTAATTCAGAATTATTTGTCATGTGTTTATTGAAAATCAATTTAACTAATTTTTAAAGATAAATTAAATTACATCAATTTAATATTTTAAATAAAAATTAAATATTCTAAAACTATATAAAAAATTATAAATTATAATTTTTTATCTTAAAATATTAGTTAAAATTTTTATAATTTCTAAAAATAAAAATTGTGACAAATAAAACGAGAGAGAGTAGTAACTAGAAGTCTAGAACTAAAGAAGAACAAAAAGGAAAAGATTCTTTTTGATTAAGAGTAATAATAATTCTATTTAGCATGTAGTAATAAATTCTAATTAAATAACTAGAACTAAAGAAGAACAAAAAGGGAAAGAGAAATTAAGGTGTCATTTTTGTTTCATTCGGTTCGAGTTCACTAAATCCCATGTTTCTTGCCTCAATTCATAAGCCCTAAACCCTCCCTTCATCCTCTGGATTGAAGCTTAATTTTCCGGTGAAGTACACGGCGGAGATGGATTTGGACTTCGACGGTCCAAGTAAAGTTCCGACTAGGCAATCCCGTTTTGCTCCTAAAAGTTCTAAATTGAAGCCTCAACCGGAAACCAAACCAAAAATTGAAACACTGCCACAGTCTGATTCAGCCATTTCGACTAAAAAGGAAGAGTTGACTGTTCATTTAGCCGAAAACAGAGCGGTTACAGGTAATGACGACGTTCCATTGGAGGGAGAGACTACAGGAAACGACCTGGGAGAAGATGAAGAACAAGTCACTGACAGCGATCATGATGAAATTGTTCGTGAAATTGATGTGTGTATTAACCCTTCTTTTGATCCCAGCACTCAGGTAGGTTACTCGATTTAAGAAATGTGTTGTCTTTTTGTTGAATTTTGCATTTTTTTAATTTGTTAAGTATAATTTTCTTTTTGTTTGTCAGTTATATGTGTTTCAATACCCATTGAAGGCCGTATGGCGTCCGTATGAATTGGAGGAAAGATGTCAAGAGGTGAGTTACTATTGTCCTTAATGTTTTCATTTGGTGGAATAACTTGGTCATTGTTTATTATGCCAAATGAATCAGTAGTTTCGAAGATTAAATTGAAAATGGGAGGTTAAAGATAAGAATGGACTAGCTGGGTTTAAGTGATCAGTTCTGAATTCCCTTTTTTTATATTTTCAGGTGAGGTTGAGACCTTCAACTGCAGAAATGGAGGTTGATTTGGCAATAGATTTGGATTCTAAAAACTTTGACAGAGACTCTGTCCATGCTGCAACAGTAAAAAAGCAGGTTCATTTGATTTATCCTCTCAAAATGTAAAGAGAATCTTTGAGATGTATGGGAGCATGACTTTTTAATGTATTGTTCTCTTCTTAAACCGCAACGTAGACAAAGAACAAACCAGTTAATTTCTTTTCGTCTGTGTGACTTTGCTGGGTAGAGTTATCTGGTACATTTTTTGGTAGTTAGTGGGAGATAGCACGTACCCGGTGTAATAGTCTAGGTGTTTACAAAAAAGCTACACCGCACGCGCGTGCACACACACGTATATGTATATATATGCTCTCCTTTTCCCTATTTTCTGAGCATAAAATTGTTAGAAATAGGCCAAATGTTGCTAGCAATTGGCGGCTACAGTTTTTCTCCCTTTAAAAAATGGCAAAATCCACCTTGTGCTGCCATGCTGTTTGGCTTTTCATCAAATTATGTCTGTATGTGCAAGTCAGTTGCACGTCAAACTTTAACTAGTTAAATGGCACGAAGATGTTACAATTGTGGTGCCTGTCACCTTCAAAGCCTGCAACCACTGCTTTATACATATATATCGTCCAATTTCCTGGTTGTAACTCTGCTGTTAGGTGTAGGATAATGAGGTTGTTTTTGGCGAACTTTGACATTTAGATTCTGGAAAATCTGCACTTGATATTTGTTCCCTTAGCAGGAATTTCAGTTCTAATTTCTTTAGCCAGAATCTGATTGTTTCTCATTTTCCAGATGCTTTCTACATCATGGATACCATTACCAACTTGCACCTCTGGATATGCTGTTGGGGTCCTCATTGGTGATAAGGTAAACAATTTGTTTGTGATGGCTTAAATGCATCTTTAACTCCCTCATGAAGTTTGATTGACTAGTAGTTAGTCTTCTGCAGTTTCTGTATGTGCTTATGCATTTTTCAGTTGTTGTCCTTTTCTTTTTAAAAATCTAATTAGGACCATAACGATGTCGAGTATCTACTCTCTCAACTTCAAGTGTGATCAAGTCAATTTTATATCAGCTTCAAGTTGAAGCAAATCATCCGCTGTCAAATCTGACTCTACTGTTATCTAGTTATAATAGTATAGTGTTTCTGGCTCTCTTATTCACCCCAAGTGCCACTAAGGGGCTGTTTACTAGGGAACAAGTTATCGAGGGATTAATTATTTTGTGATAAGTTATTCCACCATGTATTTGAGATAACTTATCCCATCATTATTGTATAAATGGTGGGATAAATAATCCAAGGACTACCTAATACCTCCAACTAATTGCAAGATAAAATAATCCTGCATTTTATCCCGGGATTATTATACCTTATACTTCTCACCAAACTATTCCTTAGTAGCAAAATGTTGTCAAGTTATTCTAGTTATTCTTTTGTTTCTTATATATATTGGTGTGAATAACTTTAACTAATTTTCTGGGTTTGCTTATAGTGATTTGAAGCTCATTTCTGCAGTCAAGAGAAAAATACTAAAGCTTACTGATGTTCTCCATAGTCACGCTCTTGCTTCCCGTTTGTTATGCAGTTACACCTCAATCCTGTTCATGCAGTTGTACAACTCCGGCCATCAAAGCGGAATCTTAAGGAAAGTGAGTTGAAGAAGAACATTATCACCAACAATGATGAAAAAAGTGTTGAAAATGAAGACGTCAAGGAGAAAAGGCCCGTGGGACCATCAAAGAAGCAGGTTCATTTCATGATTTTTTCTGTGATTACAGCTCCTAAGCTCAACATATATGGACCTTGTATATGACCACTTACATGTGATATTATGGTATGGATTATTGGCTAGCACTTAAAATATCACATGTCAAGGATTTCCCATTTCCTGCTTTACTTGTTTTGCCACATTTTTGGATAAATAATGATAACGGGAATGCCTAAAGATAGGTTTTCAGTAGTTAAGCAGTCTGCTACTTCAAGTCTTAATTTTTCTTGTTTGGTAAATGCCACACCTACCTGTCTTTCCACTTCGCCTCAATTGGTGACTCGAGTCAACCCCAACTTCATTGTTGGAGGTGGAGAATCTTTTGCAACTAGGCTATCCTTCCTTGATGTTGTACAAGCTTTTTGTAAAAGTGTGTTACCTTTTCCTTGATTTAGTCTTGAAATATATACCTTTTGTGCAGAACAAATCACCTGGGATCGAAAAGGATATTGGAGAGGTATGAACACCTGTGAACATGTACTCAAAAAATTTCTGCTTTTCAGTATGAACTAAGAACTCTCCATATTGTTCTTTATCTTGAGTGGCTGCTGATTTTTCATCTACATGGTTTGAATTGACGTTTCTGTTGCAAGTGTTTTCTATTAATATTTGCTCAAGAGCAGTTAGCTTTCTTCATGCAGTTTCAAGTATCATTCCAAACAGTTTCATTGATGCAGATCCTTGTGAAGTTATTAATATTTGTTGTATTTCCTGTTTTAGCATTGGTTACATCTAAAATACCATGGGGCTAGGAGTGATATTTCAGCCAGATATCTGCAGAAAATGTCCATGGAGGAAGGCTCTCCAGTACCATTTTCAATGAGCCCGTATGTGTGCTAATATGGTTTATTTTTCTTTGCTTGAACAATATTTTTTTTGGGCAAACTGCTGCTGTTCAGGACAACTAAAAGAAGCATTTTCCCTGCCTCACATCATACATTTATCTACTCTCATTCTAATACCAGTTTTCTTTTCTTATTCAATATGCAGGGTTGATTATCTGAATGCCTTTTGTCCTGGAAGACCAACTGACACTGACAGATTAAAAATTCTTCGAACAAGGTATGTCAGCCACTCTAGTTGGTCCTTCACATTGTGTGTTTTGACATTGGAAGGTTTGGAGGAGCTTCTATGGAAAAACAAAAATTTTATTTACATCTATGATCAT